AAACTTCTTTCTTGCAAGTCGCACTTTACTCCTATCATAAATTAAAAGATGTGCTATCACCAGCACTCAGTATTTCTAATGACACTCGACCATACTCAGCTGCCTTACGGTGTTGTTATATAATATGTTTCAGTAATATGGGGACTGAATGTTATAAAACGTGTTATATAACGTGACACGAAAATGTCATAAGACAATGCCATATAACATTGTTATATTGCATCGTTATTCTAATGTGTACAGTATTGTTATATGTTGCAATGTTGAAAAACAATGTGACATAATGTGGACGTGTTATAAAACAAAAGATATACAACATGTTACTTGATCTGTACGCACCCTTACCTGCTTTCATTCTTTTCATTGCTTTTATTCTTCTCTCGCTTTGATCCATACTTATATCACATTCTTTCTTTTCTTTTAAACTTAATTAAAACTATTAAGTTAGTATAGGTATACCAGAATTTCATGGCACAAAATTAAAGGTTTGCTTGGTAATTATTACGGTTAAGTGGTGATTGAAAAATAAAGTATTCCTTTTTTTTTAAAATATATTTTATAATAATAATTAACGACCTAAACAATTTCGAAAACAAAAAAAATATGTTGAAACGCCAAAAACAGAGCATGGCCCATGAGGGGATCGAACCCGCGACCTTCGCGTTATTAGCACGACGCTCTAACCAACTGAGCTAATGGGCCGGTGAAGAAAACACTGAAATTAGATTACTCATCCAACAAGACAATAATATGTACATACAAGAATTTTGTTTATATCTAGCGAACGGCCCCGGCTTCGCCTGAATAGGATCTCTTAATGTGGTGTTATTTAGAAAAAAATTCTTTAATTTTGTCAAATAAAATATACCCTACATTCCTCCTTGCATTGCTCTCAATCTGTAGGTAAGCTTTCATCACAATCGATCCAGCCATTCCGAAGATTAGCCCAGTCCGATTACAAGACGGACAAAAATTTTAAAAATGCTTATGCATGTCTTAATAGAATGCAAATAACCCTCTGAACTTAATAGAAGCCAGTTATTTCAATATTACACACAGACACTTCAGTTTTGTTTATATGTTTATAGATAAATATAAATGGTGAAGTCAATTTTAAGCCATCAAAAACATAACTTGTAAAAAAACCAAGTCTCGCAACTCAGTTCTTCTACCGTAAAAAGTTGTGAAATCCATGTAATACCAAGTCGGTTAATTTATTCAGTCCTTACTTAAGGGTCCTTCTGTCTTAAGTTATTACGTAAATTAGCTAACCTAACACCTATTATTCCATTATATTATACATATATAGGTACACTGATTCATTCCCTGCAAATGTAACTTTGTAATCCTATATATTTATGTGGGATTACAAAGTTATTTATGCAGTTGGTGTATCTCGAAAACTGGACCGAAATTGCAAAATATTTTAGTTTTTCCTTGATTTATATACTAAACAATAATTGTATTCGAAATTTGAAGCTTCTATGTCTACTAGAAGGGCCTTAGAGTTTTGATGATCGGTCAGTCAGTGAGTGACAAAATTAAGAAACTTTGACTAGTTATAACTCTTAACTACTATTTCATATCGAGTCTATATAATGCCTACTTGGTTACTGAAAATTCAGGCTTCTAGTTTTATCCACAACGAAGTTATACGGTTTCGAAAATGGCCTGAACTACTTCGAGAAAAGAAAGAAAAGTGGAACCAAGTTCAACGATAATAGGGGTTTTTTCTTTCCTTGAAACGAAAAATATCTTTGATGTCGCGCAAGTAGATATCAAGATTCACAGTTTTGAACAGAGTTTTTACGTGGAACATTTTTCAATTCAACACTGGTCTTACGTACGACTCGCTGTAAGTCTTCTATTTTCTCTTCCAGGATAAAGATATATTCCAGATCCTCTTTTGCTTGGAACTAGAATAACGCAATCTTTTTTCAAAATTCCTCATTTTGAGAACCTCTCAACTACGGATCTTTCTAATCCGTAGTTTGAATAATTTTGTTGCTTTAAGTTGGATACTGTTGGCGTTTTAACATACGTCGATCTTTTTACAGATATGTTTTAAAATTAGTGTGGGCCTAAATGAATACTGAGCAAATGGCAATTCTGGTGTAATTTTCACTGCAAATATTTATATAAATTAGTTATTTCTTGACACGTCGTACTTGACACGATACGTCAGAAAGAAAAAAGAGAAAAGAAGAAAAAATTCATAATGATGATCATTGGGTTAATGCCAAATATTGAAGCAGTGCAACAAAATAAATCTGTCCTCTGATACCCCATATAGATAGATCAAATTTTGTAATCACGCAGTCACAAAATTTTAAGGGCCTTATCATTGCACACTGTATAGTACCTATAGAATTGAGTTGGAGAATGAAGGATAAAATTGCGGAGTAAAATGTAAAGAAGCCTGCAAGTGTTATCAATGATAGAAGAAGCTTCGTCATGTCGTCGTCTTTTCGTTCGGAATCACGATTCGGGATTCCGAAACGGAATACATCACACACACACGTTTTTGTCCGTTCGGAATAACAAGGGTCAGTTGTGAGACGTTAGTCATTGAGTCTAGACATTCTACCAGCGAATAATGACGACGATTTTCTAACTGCGATTCCATTGTTGCTGTATCATTCTTACTAGGTGCATTCCCTTATCACCCTAAGCTTGCAATATAGTCAATATTATGTAAAAAGATCTATCTATCCAGAGATATTTTTTTTAAATATGGATGTCTGTAAACTCTTTCGACGAATTATTAAATTAAATAAGATGAAAGGTTACGAAAAGCTATACACCTACAAGATTAAATGTAAAAACATACATAAACACACCTACTCGCTTCGGTCGTGCCTATATAGTATAATATTATCTATGGGTCGTGCGACGACCGCTATTTATTCGTCTTTGATGAACTTTTTAATGAAATGACAATCCCAGTAATTTTGAAACTTTTTGATTGCAATCTGAATCATAAAATAAGATCTTTACAATCAAAAAATATAAATGTAATAATAGATCAGGATAAAAGTTTCTTCGTATTTTATATACAAATTCAAGACATTTTTTTTTTCAAAGTTTATCTAATAACGTTTAATCTAATATATATATATATATATATATATATATATATATATATAATATATATATATATATATATATATATATATATATATATATTCTCGTGCGGCGGTGTTTGTTATCAAACTCCTCCGAAACGGCTGAACCGATTTGTATGAAATTTTGTTTGCATTTCAGGTAAGTCTGAGAATCGGACAACATCTATTTTTCAAACCCCTAAATGATAAGGGTGACCCACCCCTAAATATTATTTTAAATTATAATGCATTCAAAAATACATAAAACTTCAAATTTTCACCCTTCTACGATCAACCGCTGTTTTTTAATCACAATCTTTAAAACTAAAGATATTTCCTAGAAATAATGTATATGGCAATACAACGATTGTCGGGTCAGCTAGTTATAATATATATTTGTGCCATTTTGTTCGATAAATTATTGACATCTTGTAGGTAGTGACATAATTCTGTTGCTGTAGATCTTGGGATTTTTGATAAAAAGAAGCGACAAGTAGTTTTGACTGTCCTCTCTTGATGTTAACCTAACACTACCCAAAGAATTCGGAAGGGACCGAAACAGGTAAAAATCTGAGGGTGCAACGTCAGGACTATATGGTCGATGCATTAACACTTCCCAACCGAGCTCTCTCAATTTTTGCTGAGTGGCCGAAGATATGTGTCGTCTGGCGTTATCATGATGAAAGACCATTCCTTTTCTGCTGATCGATTCTGGCCGTTTGTTCAACTTCTTGCTTGAGTCTCATTAGTTGTTGGCAGTAGAGATCCGAATCGATGGTATGAATCGGTAAAAGCTCATAATAAACGATGACCTTCCAATCCCATCATACCCGCTACTCGTGTGGTACCCAAATATCGAGCTTTTTTGTATAGCCAGACTTATTCAAATGGGTCAAAATTGTTTTGTCATCAATCCTCAACTTCTCGGCTATGTTGTAACTTTTTTTTGCGGCTTGAGTAGCATTTTTCCCTTTTTAGTAATAAAACTTCAGAATGTATCGAAATTTTTCGGTAATTTTTCCGTTCAATTGGTTTTCTGTCCTCATAATGGCGGACAGAAAACCAATTCAAAATGGCGGAAGTGTTTTTTACTTTTTCTTTTTCTTAATGTCCTATATGTATTGATATTTAAACCAGCCAGGTACAAACAGTACAATCAAAGAGATTTTCTTAAATTTTATACAAATAAAATACGAAGAAACTTTTTCCCCATTATATTCGCAGGCGAGAGAATGACAAAAGTAAAAATTTGCAGACACAAACATTTAAAACAATGTTGGTGGTTGCAAATGATTTTAGATGCATATGTGTGCGTGAGTGAGTTTTCTTACAATAATTTGAGCATGGCTTGATTTCGGCGTCACTTGAAATGTACGCGGGACTCCGTGAAATATTTCTTTGTCGGTCTCAGGTCTTTAGATGATAAGATTCAGTGTAACGTTAGGATTCTGACTTCGGCCTTCACCGCGATTATTTATCATAGGCTTTGAATTAAAAAAATAAGATTACTTGATGTGTTAAAGACACGATTTCAGTAGAGGCGGGGACCCATAATTTCCTTGAATAGGATCTTAAACACATGAAGAGGTTCTTACCGTCTAGTAAATTAGCGATCATTTAAATCTCAAGTGTGCTTTATAAATAAAACTAGGACAAGATCGCGAATATTAGATTAATTAAAATACCTATAGGTTAATTCATGTTTTTCCATAATATTATTTATGTCTACATTTATACATAGCTTCATAACCAGCCTATAAAAAAATATGCATACAATATTGTAATTATATTTATATTTTTAGTTATTTCTATTAACATTTTTTCCATACTAAATATAATTTACTAGTTAAAAAATCGATCATTCATTATTAACGAAAAAATTATAAAGCTTGTTTTATGGTATTAAGCAGCCTAGTGACAAATCGCGAGGATATTGACGGGGCGACATTCAAGGGTCGCGCCGGCGGATTAGAAGTCAGGCAGAGCTTAGCTGAGTACACCGCTTTATATCGAGAGTATGAGCAGTTGGAGAAGAGTCTAGGAGCTGGATATGCACCAGAACTTGCGCGCCGACGAGACGAACTCCAAAGGGAGCTGGCTTCAAGAGAGGAACATATACGAAAAGTAAGTTTTTTGCAAGTATAATTTAAGTAGTAAAGAAACTAACGGATATATTATAGTAAGCATGTGTCTAACATGTAATAAGAACATTGTTAAGTAATCTCTTAAGAAAATGCTTTTGCTGAAAACTTGATACCGGTAACGCTAAGAAACAAGAGAACATAGCGGATAGGCGGAACTATAGTACAAATTCAGTTAAACTTGTTAGTCTTAAAACAGTATAAAAAACTCTTCCCTCTTACTATCAAAATCAGTAAGTATGGAGACAAGCAAGTTACGTGTGAGAGTATAATAGGTCTTTACCTATGAAATTGCCGTTATGCAGTACTGGCCATTTCAAATCAAAATAATTTTTGTTTGGCCAAGAATTCTAAGTTAAAAATTAATTTTATTTTAATGACATGGAATTCTCTTTTCAAAATTAGTCATTTGTTTATTGATTAGCGTTATGTTTTCATGGCATCTGAATCTTTTTCGTAGTCATAGATACGTTAAAAATTCAATTAACTGCCACTGCGTTGGCAAAGATACATCGATTGCATGGGTAATTACTTTGATTAATAGAAATAAAAAATATTGAAAAAAAATACGTTAAATTATTTAATAAAAAAGGCATTTTCATAGGTAAAGAGCTAAAATATGTACTTGTGTACATTCATTCACTGGTCAGTTAGTTCGGAAATACATTTGTTCTACCAACTGGGGGTAATTGTAAATATTTTCTATAAACTGTTATCATTAGTTCAAATAAAATAAATCTACGCAACAAGTATTTAATTCTTTTCTAAATTAAATTATGAGCTTTATCTTTCTGTGTAAACTGTTCATAAATGAATGCGTGGAAGATAAAGAATGTTTTGTGGATGAAGCGTCCACAACCGTTTGCCACTGTCTTCAATTGTCAATGGGTTTGGGTGTGATCATTTTAATGTTAGTGATGATGCAAGAATAGCACATTCGTATTGACTACCGGTTCAGAAAACGTACCAACATATAGAAGTGATCTTACAGACAAGTGCAACGAGCGTACAAATTTATTCCCTTTATTCTCGGAGTGAAACAAATTGTACGTTTGGACCTCATATTTATAGGATAAGGGTGACAAATTCATCATCATTATAGCCTACCAAAAGTCCATTGTTGAGCATAAGCCTCCACTGTAGATAGCCTCATAAAAGAATATTTGTTATTGCTGGCCTTCTTGTCAAGCGGGTTAGCATCTGCAGTTTTTTCCCAATTTTTAGTTCACTATATTATGAAGGAGATGCTGCTGCCCAACTCCGGTTTCGATTTCCCATTACCTCAAGACTGAACAAAAGAAGGCAAATGTAAACTGATGTAGAAGAGAAGTTAAAAAGATACGAAAATGGGATCCTTTGTGCGGATTAGCGAAATCCACTTGTCCTTTTAATATATTTTAAATGCATAAATTTGAGGATTTCTTCAGTAACTCTCCTCATCAATTTTCCTCAAATGCCACGAGTGTAGTGAATTGACCCCTAAAATGTTGATACTTACACAATTACATTGATAAATGTCGGCGTAGGGTTTGGGCTCAGATTGAAAAAGTGTACTGCACCCGAAATAGCGCAGCGTTATAATGATGTTAATTTTAATAAATGCAGGTGGTAAAAGAATATGAAAATACGGCTGACACGGAACCAACAATGTTACGCGCGTCTGCTTCAATAGCTGAAGATAGCTACCGTCACTCTACTTTTAAGCTGAACTCTGGTGATGCTTAACGTATAATACATTTAAGATTACATTTTTCTTAAAAAATTCTATGTATTAATTATGCTGTTAAAAATTTTCAATTGTACAAAACGTAAGGTTCAAAACGTTTAAACATTTAAAGAGACAAACATTGCAAAGTTTAAACTTATTGGATATTTACTACAAGTGTAAACAAGACAAATCCAGTTTAGTGTCTTTGAATGGTAACTTTCATTTTTTCCCCATCTTATTTTCTATATAATGTTTCCAATACTTGAAAAGTAATCATAAAAAATCCGCAACAAGTGTTCATGGCTGAAATAATAAGATATTGCTAAGCTTCTTGGAGCATAATATAGCTATTTTATAATTGTTTCAACTTTCATATTGTTTTTTGTGCTCAATTTTATCCGTTCCTTTGTAATAGCAATATGATAATAATGCGTGAACAACTGAAAGCTTACAATGTTAATACTCTAATTTTTATTTACATAAATTATTGTGTTGAACCTATTTATTTATTATTGTTACATGGTAGCAATATTTGTCAAATAAAAAATTCTTCGCATACAGTATGTCGACATTTTATTTCATAAATAATTTTAATTAATAAACCAAACATTATTGCTAATAAAAGTTGTCTACTTAAAAGCATTATGAGATTTACATCTACATGGCATGCACATTAAAACATTCAATTAGCGGATCTTGCAGCGTAATTGTTCTAAGAAAAGTTTTATTTATGAATAAAATTATTTTGTTACTTCTTATGATATATGAGAAGGTCTTTCGACATAATGCTTTACATTTAAAATTTGAAAATAACAAAGAATTTTTATTTACACCAAGTTAAAACATCAACAATAAAACTACGAGCGACAATAAAACTTATAGCTAAATTAGTCAGGTAGATGAGACTTATGATATTCTTAACTAAATAACCATTGAATAAGTTAAAGGCGCAAACAAATGAAGGATGGTATTATTCTAAAGATATCATTATGATACATAACATATAATAATATTGTATACAACTTGTATACCTGAATTTCAATTTAAGTAATAAACATGTCAAGGAAAAACAATTTAAAATAATTAACAAAGAAATATTAAACGCCTGTCCCCAATGAACTAACGCGTCTCGCATTTAGTGTTTTACACAATTCGTTTTACACGTTATCTGGAGGATAACTCTAAAATTGGTTAAAGCCAAAAATAACGAGAAAGATAATTCCAACTCGAAACAGTTAAATATCAATTTTTCTAATATTAATACTATCGTGTTCCAGTACCTATGTTGAATAATACAACTGTAAATACCTATAGTATTTTACTAAAGATGTAGGCGGGGTGGGGCCATGTGCAATACAAGCCGCCTTAAACGTTTCAAAGAGTTAAAACGAGCTGGCGGATTTCTAGTTTAAAAACAAAAATTAGCTTATTCAACGTCGGCTTACACTTTTTTGTTTCTTAATTTAATTACACACAGCATCGAGAGCATCCACTGCTAGTTTGAAGGAACGTAAGAGAGCCAGTTGGTATTGCTGGGTAACATTTCGCCTAAATCTTTAAAGGTGGTAAGTGTGGTTTTCTGTTTGTAGTTGATTGTCCAGGGGTTGTTATAGTCACCCAGTAAACAAATGCAGTAACAACCTGCATGTTTGAGATATTTTAATATTTCGGAGGCAGATCAAGATAATTACTATTGATATATTTCATTAATTATTATAATATTGATATTGTTTTTGTTACTTTAATATCTATATAATAACTACATATTTAACCTCAAACTCCTTATTCATCCTATTAAATCGTTTGAAGTTCACTCGTCGGAAATGCAATATCCATGATTCGAATTTTAATAATAATTATTAATATGAACATTTAATTGGTTCAAGCACATGAGTAAAGAAAGTTCAAGTTTTGTTTGTAATGACTTACTTCGCAAATTCCAAATTGAAATGACAAAGTGAAGAATTTATATATTTAACAAAATTACAGAATGAACGTGTATCAATTTTGTTCGTTTTAATTATTTACAATCTTAATAATTATATGATATATATATATATATATATATATATATATATATATATATATATATATATATATATATATATATAATATATCTTCATACTATATTAATAGTACTTCGTGAAAAAAGCAAATAATAAGTCTAATCTTTCTTTGAGACTGTGAATTATTTATAATTAATAATTTATTAAAAAAAATCATTACTGATACTGACAAATGGGGTTTTTAGCTAAAAGTCATCCTTTATAATAAGTAGACAGACGTGCAACAATATTTGTATCGTAATTATTGAAATATATTAAGCGGCACAGTTATACATACGTTATCTACCATTTCAAGAGAATTTCTTTAAACATTAAATTTGAATGATCTACAAAGATTACCTACAACCAAGTTTGAGTGGTATATTAAAAGCAAAACATGTTTATTAAATATTATGTACGGGTTAGTCCCTGTATATATTGGCCATATCTTCGATATTATATGAATTAGGGGTATTTAGATCGACTGTATTATACTGAAATGATCAAAAATATATTTGCTGTGATAGTTGTTAAATTCAATATAATTCTAGAAAACAAATTAATTGCGCGTGTCGGTGGAGGATGGCAGGTTTTCGCCTTCAGGCTTGTGTCGAGCGTGAAGATAAGCGTCGGGCAAAGCAGACCAGTCGGCCGGCGTCCACTCCGATGTAGAAACTTCGGCTGGACGCTCCGCTGTCTCTGTCTTGTTGCACTCCAGAGGCAGCGGCTTTGGTGTTTCAATCCTGACATTTTTATATTTCAATATAATATAACAATCGATTCTTAATTTATTCGTAAAGCATTAAAAATGAACAAACAATGGTATTCATTAACTTCACATATGGAAGTTGTTGTCTCACCGAACTGTTTATATTGAAAACAAAACATGATAAAAACATGTCCATGACAATGACAGGAACTAGTTTGGTATTAAGATTTACTATGTCCTATATTTACTTCTATTTCAAAGAAGGTGCTGCAATTTGATTATAAACGTATATTATTATTATTTTAACGGGATGATGGCTGGACCGTGTGCAAATACGAGATTTGAATACAAATATATGCCACTTACTTGCAACTTTACATGCGTAAAATATAAGCCTACGCTAAAAATCCTAAGGTTTCGTAGATTCTTCCAGATTACATTGAGACTAGTAATCTGCTGACCGAAGAGAGATCAGGCGAAGGACCATCGCTTTACGCGCTTTCCGTTACACGGGATTGAATACCGAGAATTTCCCAACACCGGTCTTGTTCAGTCATGTAGTCAGTACATTACGAAAAATTACAAAGGGCGGCCCAGAATTAAACGTAGGTGTGCATCATGGAAAATAAATGTAGCTAAAACTTATTTACAAAACTTTAATAGAAAACAATTACAACTGTAGTTCTTCTCTCGGTTTATTTTTTATATTTTTATATTTGATCTTCGAGGTACTAATGTCTTATAAAGTTAGCAAATAGAAGTTTAGATAGATTATAAGACACAAAACAAATTATAAGTTAAAAATTTATAAGATAACGAAATTGTATTTCTTTATACCGAATTTGGTCCAGTCATTGCTAAGATAGTATTATTATATTTTGTTTTTATTCGTTCGTTATTAAATAATGAACCACAGCTGATAATGTTTCCATTAAGTTCAGCAGCTTATGACAGTCACCAACTGGGAAGTGAATAGCATGGGCAGAAGGAATTTCACCTATTTAAAAGAAAATAATACTTAACTCTATAAATTTTTCTTAGACACTTGGTATAATCACAATTTTACTTTTAGCAGTAGAGCTGGTGACGTATTGTAGAAGAATAATTAAGGAATTTTTTTCCTTTATATAAATGTCGTATACCAGTGGCGTAAGAGAATTATATGCCCCGTACCATTCCGTGGGTGTCCTAAGAGAAGAAAGAGGGAAACGGAAAAGAATTCAATAACAATTGCTACCAGCCCACCCGCTAAACCTATAGGTAAGGCGTGATGGTAGCTATGACAGTCTATGATGGAGGTTATGTTTAGCAGTGCACCATGGGTGGGCAGGACATGGAAGTCATGTAAACGTACTTTAATGATGATGATGATAAAATTTAATAAACAAGTAAATTTTCTTTAATTAAAAGGTATAAATAACGTTTTAGAGTATACGGTGATTAGACTTAACAGGATTTTGTAGATAGAAAATACCTCACGCGTTCAGGTGACTGCATGGTGTCGTTCGTGCTCGATATCTCCAAATCTTCGGCATAGCTTAGCTGTAGTTTATCTCCATCGCCCCTCTGATCTTTATCTAAAGTAAAATTAATAGATGATATTACATTGTTAAGAGCACTATTTTAAATTTTAGTTTATCTGCTGATTTTCAAAAAACAGTTAATATTTTTAACGACATGCGAAATTTTTCGGTGTAATAAAATTCAATGAATATTAAACACCAACTTGGATGAGATAAAGTTCATGATTCTTTAAACCTTTAATTTGGATGAGTGTGTGAGTGAGTGAGTGAAGTGACATCACGTTCATCAGTCTGAGTGAGAATAGAATTACAGCATCTAAAAATTATTCAGAAGCTGTTCAATTCCATCCTGCAATATAGCGCTATTCTGGAGGCGGGGAGTAGAAGTGGGTGTTGTTCTTTAAGAAGTGCGATAATGTTCTATTGAAGAACTGCAGACCTATTTCTCTTTTGAGACCCATTTCATTCATCATTCATTTCGCACGCAGAACTGAAGAATTTAAGAGTCAAATTCGTACAAGCCTTAGGTGGTATATGTATATTAGCTGGCCAGGCAGACGTTGTTCTGCCCTCTCCAACAGCCCGGTGTCCTATAAAAATTCTTAAATTCGTAATAAAAAATATTGAGGGTGACTTATAGAGATGAAAACTATCATATCTCTCCAGTTGGACCAAACTGCACACAGTGTACAAAATTTCATTGCAATCAGTTTAGTAGTTTTCGGAGTGCGTCGCGGACAAATAATGTGACACGTTATTTTTATATATAAAGATACACTAATACAAATTGTACTGCACACCGAAAAGAATAATTAACCACCTTGTCTAACGTATATGGTCTAGTAAATACTTTTGATTTTTCCGAAATTTTGACAGCATAATTTTATTATTCCATTAGTTCCATTAATGGTACCACATTGACTGTCGGTCTATCAAAGTACTTATATTTAGTTTATATAGTGTTTGAAAAGCAAAACCTACGATAGACTATCCAAGTACAGAACCAGAGTACGGAACCTAGTCAATTGTTGGGAGGTGTAATACCCCCAAAACTCTTCGTTGCTGTATTAGAAGTAGTTTTTAAACTAGTGGACCGGAAAGGATATGGTATCAACATCAATGTCCAGTACATTATTCACCTTCGATTTGCTGACGATATAGTAATTATGGCATAATCACTGAACCTTAACACTATATTTAACTATATTTAATGACCTCAGCATACTCTTAACGAATGAGTCCAAGTGAAAAGATGAAAATGAACAACGGATTCCGGGTAGGTATTGGGGACACTATGCTTCAAGTTGTCGACGAGTATGTTTACTAGGATAAATTGATAGCCTAGGTAAAGTTCAACTTTAACCAATTTGTCCTATCAACGCTGAGCAGCGTTCAGTCACATCTCGTCACCTTTCATTGCTCAAAACTCGAAAACAAGAGTGTACAATCAGTGAGTCGTATGAGGAAGACTTCGTAATGAGGATATCCACAGAAGACCGGAGTAACCGATATAGACCAACAAATCAGTAAGCTGAAGTAACATTGTTGGGCCGAACATATAGTTTAAAGAACCGTTAAGTGATGGGCAAGAAAGGTTCTCGAGTGGCGGCCTCGTACCGGCGGACGAAGTGTAGGGCATACCCCCACTAGATGGAGTGACGACCTCGTAGGTCCTGGTGCAGGAAGTCGACGAAAGCAGGTGGCTCAGGACCGTGTTTTGTGGTATTCCTTAGGGGAGGTACTTGATATTAAGTGGTAAACATGTTAACAAACCTAGAAAACAAAATACAGTCATGCTTTGAAAAGTCATATCGTAATGGTTAAAGAAGGTTGATGATGCAGGCAAGGAAATCCAATCCTTCGCTATACGCATCTGTTACGATAAAGCAAAATGTGTATGAGGAGAGAAACTACTGCGAGGCATCACATCACAATTTAAGGTTGAAATCCAATCGTAGGTATATAGAGTCGTCCGTTATGCAAAGAATTTTTTTTTAAATATGAAGCTCGTGATCGTTTCAATCTCTTTTTAAATTCAATATATTCTAACTAATAAACATACCATCGATGCTGATGGCTGCCTCAGGCCAGCCGAGCGAGTCGCCTTCTACATCCACCGGTTCATCTTCGGCGTCATAACGTGGCTCGCGTTGTCTCTCATCTCGTCGGTCATCATCCAGCTCGTAACCGAGCATGCTCTCCACTGTGTGGTGCCGCTTGCGAGTGCGCAGCTTCAGACGCCGTTGCCGATTTGCGCGGATGCGTTGATATGTCTGATCAAAAGATAATTGCTGTTGTTATAAAAATCAACATTAATCTATATGGCGTATACCCCTTCAAATATGTTGTGAATTCGCTATTGGTCCAACTAAAGCACGCTACAGTATCGGTCGGTGACAGAACAATCTAGTGGCTGTTGTTACATTTATAATATACACTGAAGATAATATTGTGTAGAAGGTCTACATCATCAATAACTTGAACGTTAAAATAGCCGAAATACTTACTTCCCACCGTGCATCCTCATCTTGATGATGAAGTGAATGGGTTGATGGCGCACCTGTATCCCGGGGCAGTGCGCTAAGACTGTATAGGTGCTGTAATTCTTGAAGGAAATGGGCCTGCGCTACGCCTGGACCAAGTCGCGCACCGCATACACCACATGACGTCTTACGTTCTCCGTCAGCTGCAAGAAATGTTTGTAGATTTTCTAACTAGTTACAACGTAGATGTCCTCGGCGACAATTTTTAAATTAATTGGTTACTGCGAAAAGCGTTTATCCGGAGGAGCATCGTAAAATAGCAGCATTATGCTGCTGTTTTTAATGTGAGACACGGAAACAGGAAATCTTTTTTCTCGAACTAAAATGGAATACCTCATGTATTCCATTTTAGTCCGTAGGGGTTACAATGCATGCGTATTTTGAAACCTGTCAGTCTATGGGTCACAGCATTACCTTATACAGACTGTGTTCTTTTCATACTTTTTTTTAAAGCGAGGAATAAATTTTCAGCATAAGCCTAATAAAAGCATAATAATTTGACAGATTAAAAACACCAAGCACCACCAAGTACGTAAAGACGATTAGAACAAAGAGAAGCCCGCAGATTCGTAGTAAAACTATCAGTAACGCAGACATTGACATCGACAATCGTTGGCTGGTACCATATTCACCTCTGCTGAGCAAAACATTCAATGCTCATATTAATGTTGAGTTCTGCAGTTCGGTGAAGAGCATTAAATATATTTGCAAGTATGTGAATAAAGGAAGTGATATGGCTCTATTTAGAATTGAAAATACTAATTTGAATGCTCCTCCCTTTAATAAAAATGATGAAATAACGAATTACCAAATTGGTCGGTGTATCAGCTCCAATGAAGCTGTCTGGAGTATCTTCGGTTTCCCAATTCATGAACGGGATCCAGCAGTTATTCATTTAGCCGTACATCTTGAAAATGCCCAGTGCGTATTTTTCACCAACGAAACAGCGCTTGATCGTGCCATAAATTCACCAAAAACTACGCTCACCGAATTTTTTGAACGGTGTATACGCGCGTATGGTTTTGGTGCCTATGCACAAACACTGCTCTATTCAGAGGTACCACGTTATTTTACATGGGCTTAATCAAAAAAATGGATGCCCCGCAAGCAAGGCACACCAGTTGATGCATGCCCCGGTTTATTCAAATCAAATAATTTGGGTCGTGTATATAAAGTCAATCCAAGGCAGACTGAGTGCTTTTATCTGCGACTGTTGTTGGTTAATGTCACCGGACTATTGTCATTTCAAGGTATACGTAAAGTAAATAGACAACAGTATCTGACGTATAAAGATGCATGCCTTGCACTAGGCTTGCTAGAAGCTAGAAGGCGACAATCATTGGGACAGTATGCTTGCTGAAGCAGCATCAAACTGCATAGGAAAACAAATTCGTCTACTATTTGCTTTTTTACAGTACTGACTACATGTTTCCCAGCCCGAGCACAAATGTTATGGGATAATCACAAAAACTCAATGACTGATGATATATTGTATCGACATCGTACAAGGTGCAACGATCTAACAATATCATTCAATGACGCAATGTACAATGAAGCATTGATTGCTATCGAGGATCATTGCATTGCCATTGCGAATTTACCAATCAGTCATTTCGGTATGAGTTCACCAAATCGAAGAGATCCAGAATTCTGTTATTAGAGTTTAGTTGAATATTATATTGAGATAAGGAATATAAATTGTGGGTATCAAAAATGCTTATATTATCAAAAAATGAACGGGAACTTGAATATTAAAAGAGCATTGAGATTGCCCATCTCAGTTGGATGCGATATTATATTAGGCAAATTAAAATCGCCTAGAATTAAAAAAAAACCGTCCGTCAAGTTATTTAACACAGTCACAATTAATATATAAGTAATGTTACTACTTTAAGTGATGTTGTTACTTATATACCCTGATGATCACAAAATGAACATAAAAACTTACCAAGTAACAACAATCACAAGGATAAATTATCTGAAATTGTAACTTACGGGAGAAGAAGTCATGGGAATCGGAACAGGGTGTAGTGGTGGGCGGCTCATCATCTTTGCAAGGACGCGGCGAGGCGGAGGCAGCAGACCCGGGGGAGCTGGTGTCATCACGCGCGATGTACCCGTGGCGATACAATGGAGGAGTAGCGGTGTCATCTCGTACACTCTATAGCGCAGTATAGGGGTTCATTGACGTTATACATAATTAAAACTAGTTTTACGGATTTAATTTTACTTATTTTAATTCTCGACGGTTCAGGTGCTTTGCAGCGCCCATCGTCACGGGAGGACTGAGGTGATTGGCGTCCCGATGTCGAAGTTAACTCGGAGTACCTTCAGGTATTAAAAAAATTTACAAAACGCTCGTAATGCCGTGCATTAAAAATAAGTAAAATTAAAAGCAATAAAATCTGTATAAATAGTTTTATTCAATGTGTTGTGTTTGCGGAAATATTGCGTAAATATATAAGAAATGGTTATTACATAATTTGCAATGTTATTCATAACTTCTTGTTAATTGAAATATTTTCACCTATATGCTTAAATCTAATAAAAATAAATTTCTTTGTTCCTATTTTATGCGCTGCCATACCGTTCATCAGATGGCTGTAAAACTTTGTCAACTTATTATTTGCACTTGCGCGAAGGTTATAGGCATAGTACAATCAACTTGCAGTAGGTGGTGATCGTATCGTACCGACAAATTTATTTGAAAGTAATATATCACTCAACTTCAATAAATGTGTTATCATTCCTAATCACTGAGCAATATAAATCTTCAACAATATAAGTCTTCCAAATTTGAAACGATATTTCCACAATTATTTTTTCTGCGGCAGCAACGCGCAGGTTACCAGCTAGTATTATGTATAAAAGTTAAGTGATTCATAATTCGATTGTTGATTAGGTAATGCAAATTATTGAAAACAATTACTTAAATAAAATAATGTTATTAAGTATCGAATTTGTCTATAAATATTTACAACGAAATAATTATAATGCACGCCGAATACAAATAGATGTATTATGTATTGCTTATTAAACAATTTTAATTAATGTAGGGAGGTAACGTTACAAGAAGTTAAATCTCTAAAACCTACAACTAACGTAATAAATGACTTATTCTATTCTATTCTAAGAATGTCTTTATGCTATTTGTTGAAACTATTGGGTATAATAACAAAAAGATGTAAAACTTACAAATTTATATTCAAATAGGCGAGGGGTATAATCAACTGATAGAGACAGATTTATTGCCATGGCAGTCATTTAGTAGAGTACAACGCGGGTTTTCTCATTCGAATTCATACAAAACCCAGAGATTGCAATTTTCTAATAAACCAATTTCAAATAAAGGCTCTCTTTAAGGTTAAGGTGGAAGCACATCAGTGTGTACGCAATGTTATTTAGCGGCAGAAGGGCAGCGGTAAGGGTCCACCCTCTATCTGTCCAGACGAACTGGTTGGAAACGAATCCTACTACCTAGTAGAAATGTTTGAGAGGTTAAAGAGCTATTTGCAAAATATGTTTTGCAAATAGGCACTCTTTCATTTAAGTGGGCATGCCAATAGACAAAATTGTAGGTATTGAAATGATGCCAACCCACAACTAAAGCACCAGAAATCCCTACGATTGCTCAAGGTAACGGTGTGGGTGGCATCATTAGCGTGCAGGGTTATCGGTCCATATATTTTACACCAAAAGAGAGACCAGAGAGCCGTCCTGTTACCTGTTACCTTTATTACAGAGCCGTATATTATAATACTACAGAATTTTTGCAGGACTTCTCCGGTACCATTATAGATGTAATAGGTGTATCGTTTTTTAGGGTTCCGTACCGGAGGGGAACCAACGAGACCCCCCTCCCCCCCACTGTGCGCCCGCCTGTCTGTCAGCGGTCTGTATCTGTAATAGGTAGACAGTTGAAATTTTCACAGAATGTATATTTCTGTTGCCGCTATAAGAACAAATAATAAAAATAAATTAAAAATGAAAGGGCCCGCCCTACTAGAAACGTGATTTTTTGTCTCTTTTTTCTCGACCATAATAATGGCATCAATTAGACGATTAAAATGCTCACAGAGTTTTTAAAAAATATTATAATAAAATAAAATAATATTTATTATTTAATATATATAATATACATTTTATTTGGATATTTAAAATTGTTAGTAACTTACAGGGCAAAAAAGAATAATAAAAGAAGATATTCGCTTTGAAATGAATTTATTTTAAATATCATTCCTGTCTTGAAGCAGAACCCTCGTGAGTTATTATTTTATAATTGTATACGTATGTGTATGTTATTAATCTAAGTGTGTACTATTCATAATATGAATTTTGGCGCAACATAAATTTAATAGTTAAAATAACTTGAAGAATATTTTTAAAAGCTACTTAAGTACTTCACACTTAGGTAAATCATTATATAGTAATCAGTCGATAGGTAAACTCTACGAAAATGTAACGTTACCTCCCGTTTTAAAATATTTGTATAATTTACTCTAAGCGCTTGTCCGACAGTTTGTCCAAGTGCGTATTGCTCGCCGAGGTGCCTGGCAAAGGCTTTTCCTGGATATAAAGGATGAAAAGCGCCGCCAATTGGCCTGAATGCGCCGCAGCCGAAGCTCTGCAGCGCAGGATGCAGGAACTGCGGTGCCATATGGTGCAAGAAGCCCTCCATGATGATTGCAGAACACTAAAAACAAATTCTTTTTAAGTTTTATGAAAGTAATTTGTAAATGTTTGCGCTGAGCTTAAATTGTACCTAATTAAAAAATTAAGAATGAAAAAGGTAGACTACAACAACGTATGAAATTAATAATATCAATGATTAGTAGGTGAAAAAATAACAAAATATATAACCATCACCACAAAGGAAAATATTGTATACTAGTATTTTTAACGCGGCTTCAGCCTTTATGTTCTTAGTAGATTTTCGAGAAACTAATTTTGATTATTAATTTTGATTTTGGATGTCTATGTAACATAAAAGATATCATTACTAAATACCACTGTAAAAGTTATAGTTCAAACGAGAATTATTTAATATAGTTGGCAAATTATTTATATGTTACTAGGGATCCACCCCGGCTTCGCATGGGTGATTTCTGGATTTCGACAACAGCATTATCGGATTCAAATGTGAATCTAAACCATCCAGAAGCCTCAAACATACACAAAAACTTTCAACATTTCGGTCGAGCTTTTAGAGTTTTAGCGAAACTAACGGACACGAATCAATTTTTATAATATATTATATATAGTTAATCGTATTCCGCAAAACCCATATTTAGCCGACATCTACTCGGCAAAATAACAATCACACCAAATTTTAAGTTTGTAGGTCTATGTAAGAGGGTAGAAGTCTAAGTACCCACTCGGTCGGGGTTCGGCGCGAACCACCAGATTGGATCGGTCATTCCACGTGTAAATCGGTGTCGTGATTCCTTTTGTTGTGGTAATTCTTTACGAATAAGAATATGTGAAGAAGGTTATGTTGCTGCTGTATTGCACACTTCATCTATTTTGGTGTAATCTTGTATTTAATTCAAATTCATTCGTGTGATTAAAACGTAAAGTCGTAACTGGTAATTATTCATATATTTCACGGCTCCGTGGCGCAGTGGCTTAGCAATGAGTAGTTGAGCTGGGGGCCGCGGGTTCGAATCCCGCACGGAACAAGTATTTGTATGGCCTACAAATAATTGTTCCGGGTCTGATGTTTGTCCTTGTGCAATTTATGTTTGTAAACTGCCTCCACGACACAGGAGAAAATCCTAGTGTGGGGGTAACGTTTTTTGAATTCATTAATTAAATTAATTCCCTTTTTTTAAAATAGTGTTCTAACAGTTTTACTTAAACAAGTTTTGTAGTAATTTATAAAAATATGGATGGATAAAGGCACGGCCGTAAGTTTGTTAGCTCCCGCCTAGCAAAGACATACCGCCGAATGACACAAGTTCTGTTCGGTATCATATTAGATGATACCCTTTTGCTGGCAGGGTAGGTCTGGACAGTTCCGATGCACCTAATAACCCTCAGTGCCGCGACCGTTCCTTGGTGTGAGGCTAGCGGGATCCGAAGCACGTTTGCAACGTTACATGACCGTAGATAGTTGGGGACCTAATTAATGAGCCAAGGAATGTTGATGCTCATAAAAGGCTGAACTGGCATCTATTGTAAGCGTATCCTTCGCCTTGAATACTCAACTTTCTCTACGATTTGGGTAATACAACGGAATGGATCAAATAATTTATTCTTGTATGTATCGATCGCACGGTGGTGACTATGATACAACTAAGCTTTTGAAAACCTCAGTGGGGTATCTGATGCGGTCCTAAATCGGTACCCTATTACACAACTGATTTTTCTGGAGGAAATTAATACCTGTCACCAGGACTGGTTGTTCCCATACCAGAAGACCGATCACTCTGGGAGAGATAGCGCTGAGTGCGCGGACGTTTTGTTGTGGTGGAGTAGTAATCCAAGGAGCCCCGTGTTCGGTTACTGTTGCTTACAGCAGTAAACACTTCTGACAAGCATTTTGTAGTAACCATCCCGTATTGATGCTACTTAGATTTCGTCAGATATCCCAAAATGAAAAAAAAACTAGCGATATAAATTTGAAAATAGCCAAACCATTTAAAGTTGGAATGTAAAACATTATCCTGATATTTTAATATTTACTCTAATAATATATTTATATTATGTACACTCTATAATAATTTACTCTTTGGTTACTTATTTAACATAAAAAATATGTTGCATAATATCTTAAGTTTTCATAAAAGAATTGTAAATTATCCAAAAATACTATTTAATTTTCACAAAAAAATATTAGCGATATCATAAAGAACCTTAAAGCGGCTGCCGTATCGATAGGTTTCACAACAAGTAATGTTTTGTTGTTTTAGAGGCAACAAACTAAAAGTCTGAAGTTACGGCCGCAGAGAGCCATGAAACCACACAGGAATACTTATAAAAGTGTTTATTTTCAAAGCAGTTGTATAACGTCGTCTGAGGCGCGGTTGTACTAACAAACGAGACCAGTGGCCGCGCGAGGAGGACGCAGCATTGAAATAATAAAAGTGTAATTGTAGCCGACACTCTTTGTAATGCAAAGCATTATTTGATATTATTACTATTATCGAAGAGTGAGCAGCATTTTAATATATTTTCACTGAATATATTATATAAGCTGGACTTTAATTTTTAATAAGTGGATTAAAAGTTAAAGTCCAGCTTCGAATGGGTGATGTCTGGATCTCGACAACAGCGTCACCTACCGGGTCCAATTGTGAATCTAATAAATCCAGGGACCCACGAAAACCCACGAAAAAAGAACATTGTAAAAACTCGCCTAAGAACCAACATATATTTGACAATCACCAAAATTCTTATCCTTAATTGTGCATTAGGTAACATTATTATCAAAAATCATTTATTATATATATATATATATATATATATATATATATATATATATACACCTAGTCAGGTCATAAGTATTGTCACACAGTAAAAACTTTTCTTTTAGAATGCTGGCCACAAAAAAGTTTATTGAATTCGAATTTCGAATTGTTCATGAAAATAAAACTGTATACGTTTTAGAATTTTACTCATTTTTAAATATGGAGTGGACGCTTAAAGAAGACCGTGTTGAAAAATTTGAATATAACCAAAAGATTCGTTTATCGTACCATCAAACGATACAATGAAGACTCTAGTGTAGATGACAGGTCAAGAAGTGGTCGCTCTCGGTCTGTTAGGACCCCAGCAGTGATAAAATCTGTGAAGGCGCGAATTCAAAGAAATCCCAAACATAAGCAGAAACTGTTGGCCCTTCAGATGGGGTTAAGCAGAACCACGGTGAAAAGGGTGTCAAATGAAGACTTAGGGCTTCGGGCATATCGAAGAAAAACAGGACATCGTTTGAATGCTCGTCTAATGGACCTGAGACTGAAGAGATGCCGCGCTATGTTGAAGCGGTACGCGGGAAAAAAATATCGGGAAATTCTTTTTTTGGATGAAAAAATTTTTACCGTAGAAGAGAGCTACAACAAACAAAATGATAAGGTGTACGCACACAGTAGTGAAGAAGCGAGCAACCGTATTCCGCGTGTCCAACTAGGTCATTTTCCATCCTCGCTCATGGTATGGTTGGGAGTTTCTTATTGGGGCTTAACAGAGGTACATTTTTATGAGAAAGGTGTAAAAACGAATGCAGTTGTGTATCAAAATACAGTCCTGACGAACCTTGTGGAACCTGTTTCTCATACCATGTTCAATAACAGGCACTGGGTATTGCAACAAGATTCGGCGCCAGCTCATAGAGCGAAGAGCACACAAGACTGGCTGGCGGCACGTGAAATCGACTTCATCCGGCACGAAGACTGGCCCTCCTCCAGTCCAGATTTGAATCCGTTAGATTACAAGATATGGCAACACTTGGAGAAAAAGGCGTGCTCAAAGCCTCATCCCAATTTGGAGTCACTCAAGACATCCTTGATTAAGGCAGCCGCCGATATTGACATGGACCTCGTTCATGCTGCGATAGACGACTGGCCGCGCAGATTGAAGGCCTGTATTCAAGATCACGGAGGTCATTTTGAATAAACTTTACTGTCATAAGAATCTATGTTTTCTTAAGTTCATTTTGGTATATAAATGGTTACATAATAAATAAACTTGTTTCAATTATTTTATATTAAACATGTGACAGAATTTATGACCTGACTAGGTATATATAGACGTTGTTCTGCCCCCCTTCCGACGACCATTTGCTGTCCTAAAAAAACTCCTGAGATCACTTATCGGGATAAAAAGTATCCTATCTCTCAAGTTGGACCAAACTGCACACAGTGTACAAAATTTCATTGAAATCAGTTCAATAGTTTAGGAGTTCATCGCGGACAAACAACGTGACACGTAATTTTTAAATATAAAGATATATATATATATATATATATATATATATATATATATATATATATATATATATATATGATTTCGATGTGATGATTACGGGTGATTTTTGGATCTAGACAACAGCGCCAACTACCAATTATGAATTAATTAATCATTACCGAATCAACTTTATCACACACATATAATTTCATCAATATTGGTCCCCAGCCGTTTAGAATGAGGTCAGTCACATACACACGGACAGAATAATTATAATATATATAAAGATAAAGATTATTATTTGAACGAATGTTTTGAAGTAGTTAGTTAGCTGCGCTGTCCCAGTGGGGGATGACGGACTGCATACTCGCTCGAAACATCTAATCCTCAAATTAAAAAAATAAATCAGCGCTTACAATTGCTATTACCAGTTTCATTGGTGACGGCGGAATTCGTACTTAGTTTTCTTGCGTACTATGATATTTAAAGAAAAGCGCTTAACCTCCGTAACTTCAATATTTTTTTTTGGTTAAAGATTTGTACTGTGGCTTGTACTTACACTACTGTGAGTGGATCGAACTCGCAAATGTGTGTGTAAATCATGTTGAAATTTTTGGTGTATGATTTGCTAAATTGTTTCATTTTGAATAAATATAATATCTAATATGTTCAGTATGTAATAAAATCGCAATGTATTTCCCTTTTACCTAATATTCGGCTTCTCTAGAATTTTGTCACCCTATCCTATAAAAAAAATCTTATCTTATCTTTAAG